GCAAAGATGCCCCTTTTCCTTCCTGCACCATGGGCAAGCAGCACGTTTCTGGAGTGTTTTCAGCCCCCATTTGCTGGATAGGCAAGACAACCAGCCCCAACCCCAGCTTCATGCAGCAAGCACGGGTCCACTCTCCTGCCAAGCACAGGGTACACTCATCTCCATTCCCACATGAGCTTTGAAGTTCAATCTATGTATACCCACTTCCTTCTACCCTTGGGCTACATTTCACCAGCCTACTCTGTAGGTTTATTCTTCATTATTGGTCCACAAAGATCGATTTATTTTTTGATTCATTCATTGGCTCGTGTGTGTGTGTGTGTGTGTGTGTGTATGCACATTTCATCAATCACTCCTCTGTGGCTGGAGGAGGTTACAGAGGGGGCTTGATGTGTGCTCACTCCACCATCTTGATCAATGTCTTCCAGGCATGTCTCAGACACTACTGAGCTAGACAAGCAAGAAGCATGTCCAGACCTGGTCATCTCAGTCTTCACAGAGTGGACAGGCCCATTTCCAAAGTGGCAACACTCTCCCTTGGTGATGGGAGGAGTTTGCTTATTAGTAGCTAAAGAAGAACTCCTTTCCTCTCCTGTCCTATCCTACCCAGAAGAGTGGTCATGAGAGCTGACACAGGGCAGGCTGGTTGAATATCCTGGAGAGGCACAATTCCAGAGGTTCAGTGATACCAAGTTTCAGTTCACGGTAGGCACTGGAGCGCAAAGACTGGCTGATTTGTGTCTGGGGTGGCAACAAAGGGCTAGATGAAGTTTAGGAAGGGAGGAGACTCAGGGGTGGCTGATTGGAGGTTGGGAAGGGGGTGGAGGTAGTCCACCGCCTTGGCTCAGGCCCAAGCTTCTTATCAGCTCTTCAGCCTGAGGCCTGTCTTTGCCAATGCCAGGTTAAATTTCTCCTTCAGAGTTTAAAACTTTGTTAGAAAAGAAAAGAAAGATAAAAGGAAGGAAGGAAGGGGGAGGGAGGGAGGGAGGGAGGAAGCCCTTCAGAGCGGTTAATGTAGGCGGGATGGCATCAGAGGGCCCTAGTTCTGGGGTGTGATCTCCTAACCCAAAATAACATCTGTAGGCTGACACCAAGGCAGTTTGATAGAAGACTTCCTGGCATCTCCAGGAAATTTGGAGATGTGTGGCCACCTCGTAGATGAGTCATTTTAAAGCACAGGAGCAAACGTAGAAGTTACTGAGGTTTACACAGGCACTTATTTTTCCAACAGCCAGGTTTTTTAAAGTCGTTTTTTTAAAATTTCCCCAGTGGGGTGCAGTAGAGGGACCAGGGACATGTACCTCCTCCCACAGGAGAGTTTGCGCTTTTGCACTGGGGGCTTTTTGCAGGTACCTGAGAAGGCTCGTCAAATTTTCCTCCAAGGTCCTTAATGGGCTTTTACAACCTCTCCTGGGCTGGCAGCCCGCTCCAGTCAAGGAGGCAGAAAGGGCTGTGTCTTCCCTTTGTGAACCTCCTGCTCCCACCTGTGTGGGTTTTCCAGGCTTTTTTGTTAGATGCTTGAGGACCTGAGAATCCCTTGAGCCAGAAAGAGAAAACTGTAATTTGGGGTCAACTCTTGTGTGCCACTTCCAAACGTCACAGTCTGGGCGCCAAAATGGTTTAACATGACCCTCCCGTCGTGGGAACAAGAAAGTCAGTCAAATCCAGGGATAGGCTAGAAATAGAACACATGGGGGAAAATACCAAAAACTCCTTTTTTAAGACGTAGGGAAGGGCAGCACAGAGGAAAGACCGACAGACAGGGGAGGAGGGAGACCCACGTGGGCACAGAGTGGAGCCCTCAATCATGAGCTGGGGACAGACTGAACACGAGCGAGGAGATGGTGGCCTTTGCTAAACTCTAAATCTACTGACGGCAGTGGAGGTTTGCTAGGGACCAAGCCCGTGGAAGTTTGCTGTTGAGTTCTCATTCTAGGAAACTTGCCTGAGTTTTCCTTTTCTCTATCCCGGAAGCCCAGGGCGCTTCGAGGCGAGTGGGAACAAAAGAAGGAATTTCCCGTACTCAACACTAGGTGGCGCCAGACAGCTGTGGACGTAATGAGGTTTCCCCCTCCAGGTGGGCTCAGAAGCTGGCGGAAGTTCCCTGAAGGGACCGAGTCAGGCCAGATTACAAGGAAACTGAGAATCCTAAGCACCCACAGGAAGTTAGCCAAAGCATAAAATGGGCACACAGAAAAATAAGTAGAAAAAACAAATCTAAGAGTTGGGGAAATGTAGCACAGAGGCTAGACAGAGTCTACAGTCTGTAAAAGGAACTTAAAAGAACTTTGCCGCGGAAGCCTTGGCAGGAAAGATGTGCAAGTGCAAAAAGATTGGAAGGGGAGGCTTCGCAGGCGTTCATGATGGGGAGGGTCATGGCCTGGACCAGGTAATGCTAGTGGTGACCACCTTCTGACTGCTGTACCTACATTTACTAGTCTACATTTACTAGTATGATTCTTTGATACAGCAAGTCAATAAGCCCAACAGGATTCAATAACAAGAATCAGTAGAAATACATTCTATTCATCTTCTCTGAGCATTTGATTTTTGTGTGTACAGTTATGGACCCATGACTTTTCAAATTTATTGTGTCCATTGATGTAAGCCAGAACTCTCTTTTTGATGCTCACATTGTCCCAACTTTGGCTTGGGCAAATTTACCCCTTTTAGATTGATTCTTGCATAATTTTGAATGACCCAACTATTGAAAGCTTTGTTTCTGGCCTAACAAAGTGTAGGTATCCTGGGATTGCCTTGCACCCTTCCACCCGAGACCAGGCATGGAATCAGACATTGTTCCAAGATACCATGGCTCCTTTGGGGAGAAAAATAGCATTAGAAACCAAAATCTGGGGTACATTGCAACTGGGCCATTTCAGTGGCAAAAAGCCATAAAGGAAATATATTTTTCATTTAATGTTTTATAAAGACATGACTTCATATTGCTATATTCAGTTCAGTTCCAGCAGTACACTGCTCCTCCTCAAATGTTTGAGTCTACCATTGGTCTTCCCTTCCACTAATCTTGAAATCTAGGTTCCCGTCAAAATAAACACAATTATTGGTCTTCTCTGGTGGCGCAGTGGTTGAGAGTCCGCCTGCCGATGCAGGGGACGCGGGTTCGTGCCCCGGTCCGGGAGGATCCCACGTGCTGCGGAGCGGCTGGGCCGGTGTGCCATGGCCCCTGAGCCTGCACATCCAGAGCCTGTGTTCCACAACGGGAGAGGCCACAGCAGTGAGAGGCCCGCGTACTGCAAAAAAATAAATAAATAAAAATAAACACAATTATTTACTTGCTCTGACAACTTAAGGGAATAGCTTTAAAAAAATACACTGTCAATACAAACAGTATAAATACTAAATATAGTTTTTGTTTTAGACCGCACACTCCTGAGGCTTTGTTGCCAAACCATTTTGTTCTAGAGTCATGCTTAATCTCCCACACTGTGTGACTTATTTGACAGTTGTGGTTCTGCTGTTTCCATTTATTTTCCTTCAGAGGAGGATGCAACCTGCCCTTACCCCACCCCTCCATTTTCTGCTCCACCTTGTCATTTTCCCATAGGACTTACAAACTCCCAATATACTAGATAATTCACTTAATAATGATCATTGCTAGTATTATTTTATTATTATTTCTCCTTTCCCCCCCACATTCGAATGTAAGCGTCATGGAGCAGGGGTTTTATTCCTTGGACTCTGGCAGCATCTGAAGGCAGGACTAAGAAAGTTGGGCTTGATTCTGGGGTCACGGGTGTCAACTCAGTTGAGCAGCATGAAGGACTGTGAGAGATGGTCAGTCTCCCTGCCATCCTGTTGTAGTTATTAATCACACCCATTTTCATTCATTAAAGTGTCCCAGCTGAAAGGGCCGGGTGATTGGAGAGGAGGAGGGGAGGCTGGGGAGTTAGAACACAAGTACTCCGGGCCAGAGGGAATGGCCAGCTACAGGGGAGGCAGCCCCCCTACTTTCAGGAACTAGCTCAATGTCCGGTGCATGGCTGGGCTTCGATAAGTGATTCTGGGGACATGGGACGACACTAGAATAACTGAGAGAAATTCCTGTATACCTGTAAATGCCTGCAAGGTGGATGGGCAGTGAGACTATCTGTGAGAGGGACGCAAGCAGAGGGAAGTCAGGGGTCATTTCTGGGTTCTGGGCCTAGACAGGTGACAGGCGAGAGGGAGGAGGGGGTTGGCGACTGGTGAACTAGTATCGTCTTTATTTCTGCAAACTAAAAATATGTTTCCAGGTTAGGCCAAAGGTAAAACGAACACATACTCTTCGCACAAGAGTCAGACAACACAGAGGCATACAAAATGGTACAGATGAAATGATCTTCAGTGATCTCATCTTAAAGAGAGCCCATCCTCTGGCTCCTCGAAACCCCACCAGATGGAGAGAGGTCTGTGGGCCTCTATCCTGTAGGGGAAACACCTGGCTGAAGCAGTTAGACTGTCTCCACCTCTGGGCTGGCTGGAAGGGGCCCAGGAAGTGGGGGTGGAGACAAACCAGTTCAGAGGCTCCAGAACTGGGAGGGCTGGGGTCTAAAAGGGAGGCACAGGCCTTGCCCAGCAATCGTTTCAGCCTTCAAGAAACTTCCCCCTCCATCCCTTCTCTGACCCTGACTCCTCCTCACCTGGTGGGGGAGAGGGTCGGGAAGAGGCTTCAGTCGCGTGCCCCAGATGAACATGCTAGGAGAGTTAAGGACACCCGAGGAGCTGTCTTAAGGAAAAGAGGTCCCCAAGGGATTTCCTGTATCACAAGGCCTCCAGGAAGACGCAGGAACATCCTGGCCGGATGAGGCTTTGGCCAGCTGCTTCAGTCACGTTTCCCATGCAGCCAGACGCTGCCCCTCGCTGGTTCCCTGCCCCATTCCCTACCTGGGGCTACTCCCACATCTCCTGACCAAAGGTGGTCTTCAGGTGACTTGCACTCAAGGTTGGTGATATAACTGGAACCCTAAAGACAACTTTTTTGGAAGAAACCACAATGATTACCCAAGGTGACACCTTTTTATTTTTCATTCAGTGCTATAACAACAGTACAGGAAAAAGGAACACAGCAAACATCGCACTTATGATCAACATCCTTCTGCGGTCTCATCTTATCATGCACATGCATTTTAGCTGCTGTCCTCAGTGTGCACACACTATCTACCCTGTACAGCATTTCACATGTCTGCGGCGTCTGCGCGCAGCCCATTTTCAGGGGGCTGTGGCCTCCCTCCGGGTCATGGTTTGGAGAGCTGGCTGAGCCATTCAGTCACCTCTGAGCAGGCATTTGGCTTGAAGTGAAATCAACCCCATTGCACCCACCCTTCCTTTCCCCTTCAAGGTTCCTCTAGCAAAGCAGGATCTCCAAGCCAGCAGGTGTATAGAGCCTGGGATTATTCCTGTTACACGTGTATCTACTGCTCTTCAGAAAAGCAGAACCAATCCCAATGCACAGTGTTGCCAATTTCCCTACAGCTCTGCAAGTGGTGGAGAGATGATATGGATATATATACATATGGTTTAATGGTTGGGTACTTAATCCCCTCCTTGTATAGTTGAGAAAACTGAGAGACGAAGCACCTTCCACAGGGTCATCCCCCTAGAGGACAGCAGAGAGATCCAGTGCTGGACGTTGCATCCCCTGACCCCCTCTCAGTGCTCCGTCAGCCACACCACTCTACCTCTGACAGTTGCTTCTCACACAGACACAGCAGGCTCTTCTTCTCTTGTCCTTTGTCCTTGGAGGAAAGCCGAAGCACGGCCCTTCCCCTCACTGTTCCATGTCCGGCAGACCAGGTTTCTAGGCTTCATCTGCTAGATCCAGGCCCTGAGGAGCGCCTCAGAAGACAGCCCGGCCGCCACACAGGCTTCTACCTCTTCCCTTCTGCAGCTGATCAGCTTCTGGGGTGAACTGGTTATTTTCTGAAAAGCAATTTTCATTCATCTTCATTAGGTGACTAGTCATAGTACTAGTAATCGTGGAGAATATCACCAAAAACCTCAACTGTCTGATTCATTAACTTTCCAGCAGCAGAAAAGCCCAAAGACAATTCTAACCCCTGGAACAAGGGCTTCCCACCTTCACTGAGATCGTCTCCCAGGTCACCAACCAGCAGATGTCTTGGGGTCCTGCCTCCTCGGCACTCCTCCCTAGGGGACCCTGCCCCACAGAAGCCCAGAATGTAGTTCTGGTCCAAAAAATCTAACCTTCTTCCGCCAGAGAGCTCTGAAAAGAGTGACCTGGTCTGAGGTGCTCCACGTACAGCACTAGCAGGGTGTCTGGTCCAGGGATGGTGCTCCATAAACAGGAGTCCCTTCCTACTCATACTTCACATTCCTGCTATCTTCTCCCAGCAACCCCAATACATCATCATAACTGGTTGTAAAAATGCAGGTATCAACCTTTCAGGGCGACTTTCCCCAGTGTCACCCCTAGACCACTCGCCTCCAACAAACTCACTTGGGTCTTGCACAGCTTCTCCCACAGCCCTTCCCATCATCACTTTTCTTTTTTCTTTTTTTTTTGGCTACACCATAGGGCATGTGGTATCTTAGTTCCCCGACCAGGGATCAAACCCATGTCCTCTGCAGTGGAAGCGCAGAGTCTTAACCACTGGACCACCAGGGAAGTCCCTCCCTGTCATCACTTTAAAGAGTGGCATGTGGGCACAGACAGGTGGGCACAATGGTTTCCTCCACCCCCATCCCCAGAGACATTAGCTTCATCTAGTCGGTTGCCCTTGATCTTGTTTGTAAAGAGGTGGCTACAGGGCTCACTCCTGGTGTCCACAGGCAAATAATGGGAAAGCAAGGCTCACTGAATGGGATGTCAGTGTGGAGCCCACCACCAATTCCCTGATGCTGGTCTGGTCAGATTCCCAGGACACTGGCTACCTACATCTGCAGTGCTTATACCTGATTGCTTTTTAAACTCTAGAGGAGTGCCTTGCAATGGAAATGTAATGTGAGCTACATAAGCCATTAAAAATTCTCCAGTAGCACATTTTATAAAGTAAAAAGAAATAGGTAAAGTTAATTTTAAAAATATATTTTATTTTAAAAATAAATATTATTTCAACATCTAATCCGCATAAAAATATTAATAAACTATTTTATATTCTTCTTGTACCGTCTTCAAAATCTGTCATGTATTTCATAGTTACAGCACATCTCAATTTGGACTAGTCACATTTCAAGTGCTTAATCATCACATATGGCTAGCAGCTACCATACTGGATGGCGTCGTTCTAGAACATTAAAGTGAAACAGCGTAATCTCAGAATTTCAGAAGGTACAAAACTGTTGTCCCATAGTTTAGAACAAACTTCCAAGCAAGGTTCAGCTGATATATTTTTTTTTAATTTGAATTTGTTCTTAACATTTGAAAATCAGGAGATTTATTATAAAGTCTGGATTTCTGGATTCTCATTTCAAATTTAGGAAGCACTGGCTCACATCCCCTCTTGGCAGCAAACTGCATGAACTGAGAAGAAGCTGGTTTCTTTAGCTGGGCCATGTTTGCCATGGTCCTCCTAACTATCTCTCCCTATTAAATCACATTTATTGCACTGTACACTCTTTTTTTTTTTAATCTGTCTGGGCCCCAGAGGCATCTGGGCTCACAAACTCCACTTTCTATGAAGCACACAAAGTCAGACTTGGGATGGCCCATTGGAGCACATCTCAATTTAGAGATGACTAACTTGAGGCCATCTTGATGTTTGCTACCCACATTACAGTGGAATGTGACAGCAAGAAGAGAAAGAATAAAGTGAGTCACAGAAAGGAAACAAAGAACCTTTAGCACCAAAGCCTCCATCCCCATGAAGCAATTATGGATAAAAGACAAGGAAAATACATTATATTTTAAAATAGGGAACACACACTGAGCAGTCTTAGTATAATTTTCCTTGCATATATATTTTTGCCATAGACTGTTACTTGATGATAAAAACTTGAATGGAAAGACATTCTTAATGGTATATTTCAGAGTGCAACCATCACCAACTGTAAAATTATAGATGAAGACATGAAATGTTTAATCCAAGCAGACAAATTAAACATTTACAAACTCAATAGGACTTTTTGAAGCCTTGTCGAGGATTTCCACTTGGTAATTTTCCATGGTTTAATTGGAAAGATGCATGGTCTTTGCAAGGTTGGCTGGAAGTTGCTTTTTAATAGTTTGGAGGATTATCTACGACCAGTACAAATGTTGAAGTGCAGCTAGGCTGTGCTAAAGTAAAGGCTGAGAGGGGGAGATGATGGTGGTGATGTGCAGCTCCAGAACTTATTTGGGATTTGATGGACACTAGCTATCTATTTCTCACAAAACACAGTGGGAAATGCATACACTCAGAGAAACTGTCCATGTTAAAATCTGGAGAGAAACAGAATACAAATTAAAAGCCTTATGGAAAAGAATGCATGTAGGAACAGACACTAGAACAAAGTAGGAAGGATGGTAAGGGGAACAGAGAAGCAAAAGGTGGTCAAGGGTCATGGCATTTACCTTCCACGGACAAAAGTGGTCATTCTCTCATAGAATCTCCTTGTCTCGGGACTTCCCTGGTGGTCCAGTGGGTAAGACTCTGTACTCCCAATGCAGGGGGCCCAGGTTTGATCCCTGATCAGGGAACTAGATCCTGCATGCATGCCGCAGCGAAGAGTCCCATGCCACAACTAAGAAGCCCACATGCTGCAACAAAGATCCTGCATGCCACAACTAAGACCTAGTGCAGCCTAAATAAATGAATAAAAAAAAAAAAAAAAGAATGTCCTTGTCTCTGGTCTCATCTCAGTTGCCTGGTTTTCTCCAAAAGCTATTTTTAGGGTATGGCTCATAATGCATTAGGATTCCTAGGAGCTCTTGCCATTGGAGGGCTTTCCTTGTGCACCTGAAATTCTACAGGGAACGGACCCTTTACATTGTTCTTTCCCTGGCCCTTTACTCTGTGGCTCCCTAACAACACACTGGGTCCTGGGAGGGAACTCTGCTAGGTCATTGAATGTAGGACCAGAAGAGGGAAATTGAAGGAGGGTATTAGGAATGCAAGAGCTCGTGAGTAGAGGGTAAGCATGGAAACAGAGTTGAGAGGAAAGCCGTAAAGGGTAACTACTCAGTGGAGTCCAGCCGAGGAAGCTGAGCTTTTTACGTGTGTGGAAAAGAAGAGCTAGTGACCTGCTGAGTCAGGAATGCTCCCCTCCCATCATCATCGTTTTGGGTTCATTCAGGGGTTCTTCCTTTACTGCAGGGCTCCGCTTCTACTAACGGCAGAGGAGCACCAATCAGACCGATCTTCCTGCAGATAGCAACTTCAAAAACGGATCAAAATATGAAACCAACTTCCTTAAGTCACAGGAGAGCAACCAAAAGTTGACACTTGGAAGAAGGGAATGTCTCTGGGTGAGTTTCCCATTTTTTACAGTTCCCTGAGGAGCTGAGGGCAGGTCTCTCTTGGTGCCATGAACAGAAGAACCAGAAAACAGATATGGGTGCAAACAGAAAAGTTAGGAAGTGAGAGGACTAGAATTAAGTGTTAATGGATTAAACATTGCAATTAAATGGCAGAGATTGTTGGAACAGATTCACTTAAAAAACAAAACAAAGCAAAGCAAAAAACCTCTGTGCTGCTTCAAGAGACACCATTTAAATTTGAGAACACGCATAAGTTTAAGATAAAAATATGGAAGAAGATACACCCTACAAACAGTAAACAAAAAAGGGCTATATTGATATCAGGATAAGAATACTGCCAGAGATAAAGAGGGACATTTCATGATGATAAAAGACTCAATTATTCAGGTAGACCTATCAATCATAAATATGTATGCACCTAAAACAGGTTCAAAACACATGAAGGAAAAATTGACATGAAAGGAGAAACAGACACATCTACACTCATAGTTAGAGATTTTGTTGTCTCTCTCTCAATAACTAATAGAACTATTCCAACAAAATCAGTGAGGACAAAGATGATCTGAACAGTATTAAACATTTTGGTCCAATTGATATTTATAAAACACCACCCAACAACAGCAGAATACACATCCTTTTGTGCTTCAGGGAACTCTGAGCCCCTCAAGTTCTTGCTGAAGGGGATGCAGGCCAGCCCTGTTCCCTATGTTTGATACATCCCACTGCCTTTATGTTTAGCGGTAAACCCTTTAGTCATCCAGAGGGGCTGGAGGGGGAACCGATGTAAAGAACACTGGTTGGTAAACATTATGAAAAGGGGCAAATGAAATGAGCAAATATCCATAAAGCCTTAGAACGGTGCCTGGTGCTTAATTCTGGACCAGTGTCCCCTGGAGTCATGACTCCCTAAACTCCTGGAAAGAAAGAGAGCTGACACTAGGATCATATGGTGGGGCGTGCAGGGTGTCCTGAGGACTGGACTGCAGGGAGGGTTAGTCCTCCTGTGAAGGGGGAGCATGGCCTGTGCTCTCAGGGCCCTGTGATGTCACAAGAGGGACCCTTCCAGGGTAACTCCTGGCTGACAAGGAACTGCAGGAATGTATAGCTTGCAGGCAGTTCTGGCTCTAGCTGCTTCTGAGAAGCTGACCGCTAACCCCATCCTCCCAGGACAGAAGGGTGAGATATCCCTGAGGGGACAGGGATGGGTTTGCTTTTGTTTGTTATTATTTTGTTGTGTTCTGTTGCACTGCTCGGTGGGTTGAGGTCTGGGGCGGAGGTGGGGGGCTAGGGTGCACAGGAAGCAGACAGATGCAACGTGTGGGGATCTCTGGAGACCTGCTTTTGCTTTTCCCCGACCCTGGCACAGCACACAGGGCCTGTCCCCACTGGAGACACTCAGATCTATGGCCCAGTGACCTCAGGTGTAAGATAAGAACCCTGGCTTGTGAGGAGTTGGGATCCCTCACCTTCGGTAGTCACAGGTCCAGCTAGTCCCCCTGCCCCCAGCCAAAGGCAAAGCAGACTCCACGCGCCCTAATTTCACACACGTGCACTTCACCGTGAGGACCCATGAGGCTCTTGGCGTATGAACTGACTATGTTGTGTTGGAACATATTTCTGGATGCAGCTGCTGTTACAATGATGGGAGGGAGGTAAGAAGGCTCGGTAGGCCGGTCCTCAGGGTAAGACTATGCATGACGCCTGGAATGCAGAGCCTCCTGGGCTGGGCTACACACCTGCTGCCTTGGCCGTGCCAGGACCTGGGGGCAAGGAGCAGAGGCCTGATGGGAGCCTGGGGAAGGCCACCACCCCCTGGTGATGGGACGTCTCCCAGCCCCTCTGACTAGGAGGGAATTCCTATAAGTACTCTTCTCCCCTCTTTGTGCAAATGCTTGTAAACCCACGATATGTGTGTCCCTGCCCCACTAAGGCCCAGACTACATCGGGTCAGCATCATGCTGAAAGGAAAAAGAACAGTTACCAAGGTGTCGGGGAGCATCACCACGGGGCAACAGGAGTGCTGGAGCAGCCGGCCCATTTTCCAGATGGAGAGCGGCACAACCACGAGGATCAGCATGAAGCCCACAAATGAGAACAGAGCCAGTGCCAGCGGCAGGGTCTCTCCTGGAAACAGAAAGACAGGAACCGGCTTAGGAGACAATCCTGGGCCTCCCTCGCTTTCCTGGATCTGGCTCTGCACACTGGCCAAGAGAGCAGATGCCAACACCCTGATGTGTGCCCTAGTGACCGAAATGACCACCATTAAAACCATTTTTCTAGAATCCAGATTGGTTTCCAGAAAGCCAAGGAAGATTACGATCTTTTTCTTGGGAAGGGAAAGGGAGGAGCATCATCTGTTAAGCCACTAGCTGTATTTGCACGTACCTCTGAGCCACTGCCAGGAAGAAGGCAGAGGGCCAGGCCCCGGGCAGGATGAGGGGGAAGCACCAAAAGAGAACAGCCCAGAAGGGAGCTGGGCAGTAACTGAAAACAAAGTGTATTTCACAATTTACTCTTGGCATTGATTCGTGTGATGGAGGAAAATGCTGAATTCAGAACACAGTCACATAATAACTCATATATCAAGCCCCTGCGAGGGTTAAGTGACTTACCCCAGGTCACACAGGTAGGGCTGGCTCCAAATTCTACTAAGTGATGTATCAGAAAGTGCCAAGTCTGAACGTCTGGAGATGCGGAAGGGGGGGACAGGTTACTTTCCCATCTCTCTGTCCTATTCGTTTAGCCCCTCTGGGCTGGACTGCTCACCCAGGATGTGAAGGGTGCCACAGCCAATGCAGCTGCAGAGAAGCTGGTGGGCTCTTCCAGATGGCTGGGGTCCCCAGAGTTTGTATCAATGATTTTGGAAAATATGTTGGCAGTACACATCAAGAGATACACAGATGTTCATACTCTTTCATCCACTCCTGTGAGTGGATTCCAAAGAATAATTCCAAGGAAGGAAACATATGCAGAAAGCAGTTCACAGCAACATCTTTATTAGAGCAACAGCCTCGCATAACCAGCCCCCCTCTCTGCCCAAAGCAGCACCCCTGCACCTTCCACCACCCCAGCACGCTCTGGTGTGCTTTCTCATAGCACGTACCACCAAGGGACACCATCTCATTTGTTTACTGCCTTGTAGCCTGTCTCCCCAACTAGAAGGTAAGCTCGGTGAGGGCAGGGACTTCCCTGCTGTATCCCAGTGACGGGGCCAGCAGGTGGCACATAGTCAGTGCTCAATAATTATTCACTGAATGAGTGAATGAATCAGTGAATGAACATCATCTTCAAAAGCAGATGGCAATGATCTAAATACCCCCAATGGAGGATGATTTAATACATCATGGGATATCATCATGGCAGGTCAGGAGTTCAGCTATTAAAATGAGAATTAGGATATATACAGACTTGTTCGCTGCATCACGGGTTGTAGTGGCAAAAGACTGGAAAGCACAGAACATACCTGTTTATGGGGGATGGTTACATATACTTTGGCACACCCATATACTGGCTTGTTATGCATGTTCTTAAACAGTGAGGTAGATCTATATGTACTGACATTAACAGGTGCTCACAATAGCAATGCCCAGTGAAGGTGAGCGAGGTACAAAGCAGTAAGCACAGTCCAGTCCCAGTTGTGCCTCTGAGTACTGACATCACATGATGACTGGAGGATTAAATGCCAGACTTGCCAAAGGAAACCTCCTGAGTGGTGTGGGGAGAATGGAGAACGTGTACTTCTTACTTTATATACTTCTGTGTTGTTCGAATTTTTTTAACAAGCTTGACTTACATGGTTTTAAAAAGTAGTATAAAATGAGGGTCTGGGGGAGGGATAAATTAGGAGTTTGGGATTAACATATACACACTACTATATATAAAACAGAGAGCTTCCCTGATGGCGCAGCGGTTGAGAGTCCGCCTGCCGATGCCGGGGACACGGGTTCGTGCCCCAGTCCAGGAAGATCCCACATGCCGCGGAGCGGCTGGGCCAGTGAGCCATGGCCGCTGAGCCTGCCCGTCTGGAGCCTGTGCTCCGCAACGGGAGAGGCCACAGCAGTGAGAGGCCCGCATACCGCAAAAAAAAGAAAACAGATAACCAACAAGGACCTACTGTATAGCACAGGGAACTATATTCAGTATCTTGTAATAACCTATAATGGAAAAGAATCTGAAAAAGAATAGATTTATATACATATATATATATGTATAACTGAATCACTTTGCTGAACACCTGAAACTAACACAACATTGAAAAGCAACTATACTTCAATTAAAAGATAAATAAAGACCCAAAAAAAGTAGTATAAAATGGTAACCAGAAAATCTACATGGAAAATGTTATGGATGTGATATTTGTGAAAAAGCAGACTCAAAGTGTATATATAATTCAACAACAACATGTGTCTACACAAAGGCTAACAGCCCTTTGACCCAGCAACTCTACTTCCAGGGATTTATACTTCAAATATACCAGCAAATGATCTATGCCCAAGGTAATTAATGAAAGCATTGGCTGTAATAGGAAAATATTGGGAGAAAAAAACTAAATACCCATCAATAGGGAGCTAGTTGAATTAGTTATATATACATACAGTGGAATACTATGTAGCTACAAAGAAGGATGAAAAAGTTCTTTTCAGATATGGAAAAATCTACAAGATATGTAAAGTGAAAAAGACAAGATCCAGAACAGTGCGTGGAGTGTGCTAACATTTGTGCTAAAAGGAGGGGAAATATATAAAAATATATTCCCATTTACTTGTAAATGTATTGAGAAGTCTTTAGAAGGATATACAAAAAGCTAATACCTCTGGGGGAGGGGTGGGAATTACATGGATGAGGAAGGCGGTTCCACACGTACCTTATCACATTTTTTTTTTTTTTTTTTTTTTTTTTT